AAAGGATCTGGTGTTGGAACTCTTGGTTCTGTGTGTGTGTGTGTGTGTGTGTGTGTGTGTGTGTGTGTGTGTGTGTCTGTGCCGCACCCCCCCCCCCAATAACTTCACATTCCCCACCTGGATGTTATTCTGCTCACTTTGATGGTGAGGATAATATTCCTTTCCAAAATGGAAGTCCATTTAGACATAGAATCCTTGAAATTTTTGAAGAAAAGAATGGAGTTTTCTTGGTGACATGTTGGGCATGTTGGGTCTGTTTTCCTTAAGGAAAAAACAAAGCACATTTCCTATTGCTCCCTTCCCTTCGTTATATTATATAGTTCTCCAGGGATGCCTGGCCGACACTGTAATCATAGAGGGGGGCATATCCTCCCAGGGCTGTGTATTTTGCAGCCCAGCTTCCCAGGCATTCCGATGGAACTCTTGCGTTCCTTCCTTTCCATGTTCACTGTGATCTTTCTGGTGGATCTTAGGAAGTTTCGGTATAGAGTTCTGAACATTAATGAGACTGTTTCCCTTGTCTCATTATTTAAGAGTCACAAAGTGTGTGTCCCTCCATACTGCAGAAGCAACCCTCTCTATCTGCTTTCCATCCGTCAGTCTGCCCTCGCTCCCTCCTTTTGTACTCAGCCATTACTCTTGGCTGATTCTCTATCGGGTTGGTGTCTAGACGGTGGGAAGCTGCATCCTTACGAGCGCCTTCATCTTCTCTTCTCATGGTTGCCAGGGTCGCTCTTGCTTAGTGTGTGCACCCTCATGTTTATTTAAGTACCTTGAACTACCACTCTGGTAGAGGTGACCCGCTGACATTTGTGGAGGCTGAGTGTTAGCAGCCCTGGTGTTAGTACCTCATTCTTTTTCACTCTTTGTGATCTTCTCTGACTGACTGTATTTCCATGGCCCTAACTGCCAAGTGCTAGGATAATGTTTTGGGTTTTTTTGTTGTTGTTGGTGGTGGTGTTTGGGTTTTTTTTTTTTTTTTCATGATCTCTAATCCAGTCCACTTCTCCAAGCTTCATGTCACTTTGCTCGTCCTTCAGTTAGCACAAGAACCCGCTGTCTAGGACTGAACCCCCCACCTCCCCTTTCATTCCCTCTGATAGTGGATTATAGCATCGTCCATCTAGGGGCCCTGAATGGGAGAAAGATCTGTTTAATCTTTATCCATGGTGCTTTATCTGTACCAGAAAAAAAAAATACTTGAAAAGACTTCATTAGTTTCTGTTCAATAAATGATGGTGTCGTTTTTAACTCAGTAAAGAAAATCCTTTAACCCTAAAACTACCTTTACTCTGTGGTTTAAAGTGCTGGCCCTCTTCTAGTACAGCTCCCTCACATGCTATACCCCCCAAATTTCAGAAGGTTGGTGTTAGAAAATGGCTTCCCACTAGCTGGGGGAAGAGGAGACAGTGTACTCATTTTGATGTGAAATGGCTGATGGAGAACAAGGACTCATTGAATTCAGACTTCTAAAGATAGATCCCACTATGTTTTAATTTTACCTGGTAACATCCTGGAGGAGATAATAGGTTTCAAATACCTAGACAGAGGCGGATTTGTATCCTAACGTGGGAATACTAAGTAAGTTGGTAATGTGTACAGGTATTTGGGGAGTGTGAATTGAGCATGCAGAAAACCCAGGTCATTCATCCGTGCCTTCTCACCTCTTCCCACTCTTTCCATTGACTCCCTTTACTGCGTAAGACATTGAAGACCTCAGCAGTCCTTGGAGGGAGCTAACACCTCTGCCACTAATGCCTGAAACACACACACACACACACACACACACACACACACACACACAAAACCAAGCTAGAAGAGAACAGTGTATGCCCAGTCCAGGAAGGGTCATCCAAGTAGGGAGCTGAAGCTCGACGCTAATTAGTCTTAACAATAAAAATCCAGAGTCTGATATCAAGGGTGAAAGCTAAAAGATCAGAGAAGCAGAGCAGCAGCCACTGGAGACTTCTTACCTCTGCAAAATCTCAGTCCAAATGGGGTGATTCTGTCTCTAAGAATCCTCAGACTGATGGGGAGATTCTGTCTCTATGAATCCTCAGACTGAACAGGCCGGAGAGCCTGTCTGACCTACCTTATATTCCTGTCTCCACTTCCCTAGTGCTGGGATTAAAGGGGTGAGTCTCCCATGTGCTGCGATCAAAGGCATGATCCTCCCTAGTGCTTGGATTAAAGGCATGAGCCTCCAGTGTGCTGGGATCAAAGGCATGCACCACCACCACCACCACCACCACCCAGCTCTGTTTCTCTTTTAGACTGGTTCAGTCTCTAGCCCAGGGTGGCCTTGAACTCCTGATCTTCCTGCTTCCTCCTCCCAAGTGCCAGGATTAAAGGTGTGTGCCACCCTTGCCTGGCCTCTATGGTTAACTAGTGGCTAGCTCTGACCTCTGATCTCTAGGCAAGCTTTATTTGTCATAACACAAACAAATCACACAACAGGGAGACTTTAGCATCAGCCATAGCCTACAGCCTCAGTAACCAAATGCATGTTACTCCTAAGTAAACCAATGAACAGGGTCTCTCTCTCTCTCTCTCTCTCTCTCTCTCTCTCTCTCTCTCTCTCTCTCTCTCTCTCTGTCATGTACTTCCAAAGGAGTCCTTTTTAGATGCTCACTATAACAGACCAGACACCTGCATGTGACCATCGACTCTCTCGAGCTCCAACATCATGGCCAAAGAGCAGAGAGGGACCGTTCTATGCAGTTTAGAGAATGGCCTCTACCATACTCATTGTGTTTTGATAAATAAACGAGTGAGTTTATTAAGTGTACATCAAGCAACAATAAAAGTACAGGAAGTATCAGAGACAGAGCAAATCATCATCAGATCGAGTGCACCCAATGTCCAGCAGAGACAACCAGAACAGCTGGACTCAGGGCAAATTGGGGTCCTACAGACATGCAGCAAAAACTGATTGGGGAGGTTGAGGCAGTCAGCTAGAGTTCCTAAACAAGCTTTCTCTCAGTGGCTGAATGCCCGCTTCATTCCCTCTGCAGGCATTTTTAGGTCATGGGAGTAACAATGCTAACCTCCTTGGGTAATGGGTTACCTCCAAGCTGTTCTCAAACATACACTGTTTTTACTCGTGAAGGCCTTTGCTGTTCTCTTTCCCCCAAGTTTCAGAGTTGTGGGTGGGGACAGATTGTACCAAGATGATGGATCTGGAGAACACTTTAAAGAAATATGCTTCAGCCTGAAATGGAGGGGCCGATCCCACTTGCAGAATCAGCTTCTCAGTGAGCTCAAATGGCACTTGAGACCCTGTGGATCTAATGTACATTATGGAGACCAAGGATAGGGTGGAAGAAAGAGCAATAGAAAGTTGGGGGAAGCCACCTGCCTCCCACTCAGCCACCCTGACAATTGCTGCATGGACCAAGGGGCGGATGTTGTGGCCTTTTATGTGTGAAGAACAAAGACAAGGATCTGCCCAACACAGACCATGGTGGCTGATGGAGACTGAAGTCTGGTGGCCTCATTTATAGATAATTAATGAAGGCAGATGCATGTATTATAGAGTGGACCCTTTCTTTGACACCAAGCTGCTCCTGGACTCTCATTCTGTACTCCATAATCTCTATGTTACTAGCAGCTTTTTGGTGAACAGGTCACTTTTGCTTTTTTAGTTGTTGAAAGCCTTTGATGAATTTCCTGATAACCTTATAAAAATAAAAAAATAAGTATGAACCATGCTGGTTGACTAGGGGTGCTTGTCAAAATGATGAGGAAGTAGCAGATACCGTGAACAAATATGACCCAGTATTAATTAGTATTAATATTACTAATACAATTAGTAATATTAATCTCAAATAGTATATATTTTTATTGAAAACTCTTTTTTTCATACAATATATTCTGATGACTGTTCTCCTCCACCATCTCCTCCCAGCTTCACCCAATCTCCCCACACTTCCAACTCCAGAACCTTTTTTCTGTCTTTTTTTTTTTTAAGACAAATGGGCAATTAAAACAAAACAGAGCAAAACAAACAAATAAGACAGAATAAAACAAAACAAATTTAAAAAAAGAAAAAGCTGAGAAATACACACATGCACACACACACACACACACACACACACACACACAAACAAACAAAACTATAAAAATACAAAATCAGACACCATAATGTACAAGCAAAAAAACAGTAAGGTAGAAAATGCCTGACAGAGCAAGATGAGACAAAAAAAAAAAAATCTCCAAAAGTATCATTGAGTTGGTTTTATGTCGGCCATCTACGACTGGGCATGGGGCTGCCTTTAAGTATGGTTTGTATTCCCAGTGAGACTTCTTTGAGAAAATTAACTTTTCCTTTGTGACCAGTTATCAACTGAAGGTATTTGGGAGTTGGTGTCCATTCCCACCTCTCGGTGCTGGGAACCCATCCAGCTTTGACCTGCACCACGGTCTCTGTGATGATGCATCAGTCCTGTTGTGTCTGGGAAGCAATGTTTCCTTGGTGTCCTCCATCTCCATTGGCTCCTACAATCTTGCTCGCCTCCTCTTCTGCAGAGTTCCCTGGGCCCTGAGGGGAGGATTTGATGAAGACATCCCATTTAGAACTGAGTGTTACAAGTCTCTCTTTCTCTGCGTATTGTCCAGCTGTGGGTCTCAGTGTTAGTTCCCATCTCCTGCAGGAGATAATCAAAGCACTGATCTAATGTGTACAGCAGAATGTCATTAGGAGTCATTTTATTGCTACCTTTCTTTAGCAGAACAATAGTATCAGGTACTGTGTATTTAATTAAACCACTGGGTTATAGATGACTTTCCTGCTTAAAATTTTGGGTAAGAGTACTGCCCGTTTTACAGAAAGCTTAAAAACTGACTTTCAATCTGCCCTGATAATTCTGGCACATTCCACCTATTAGTTTTTCTTTGTAGTTCCCATCTCCTTGAGGGATTGAGGTCAAGAGATCAACCTGGCAGTAGCAGGTTTGATATTCTTATTTTGTAAAGTGGCTTGTTTTTCTTTTTTCTTGTAGGGCCTGGATTCCTATCACAGACTCACACTGACTGGTGGGTCCTGTGAAGGGCAAAGGATGGTACTCACTGACGTCACTCCGGCTCCTGTTATGTATCTTCCCTACTGAGAGACTCCTGAGAAACAACCGTCCCTCTCTGAGGAAGGAAACAGCCGTGATTTACCAAGACAAGAAGTAATCCTCTGTGATCACAAGATGATTCAGGTTAGTAGCTCTGTGCACTTGCTGTAATTCAAATACTGTGAGAGGTTTTGGCGGTGTGCATATGCCTTAAACCTAATTAGTGCCGGTTCTTGTAGTTTCAAGTATGTGATGATATGCTGGAGAGTAGATTGAAGCTTCATTTTTTGCACTGGGTGGGGGAGGGGGGACATTTGAAAATAGTGTACTGAGTGAATAAAAACTATACAAACATATTTGATATTTGGTTGTGCTTTTCTAAGATACACACACACACACACACACACACACACACACACACACACACACTCACACACACACACTGGTTTTTCAAGACTGGATTTCTCTGTGTAGCCCTGGCTGTCCTGAAACTGGCTCTGTAGACCAGGCTGGCCTTGAACTCATAGATCTACCTGCTTCTGCTTTCCCAAGTGCTGGGTTTAAAGGTGGGTGCCACCACTGCCTGACCTGATATAAACATATTTTCAAATGATAGGTTTTGTAAGTAATATGTAGGGTTTGTTTGAAATAGCATGCGTTTGAAAGTGCAGTAAAGGCTACCTATTCTAAGTAAGTCTTGCCATTGTTCTGATCAACTTGTGTTTTTACTCCAGAATTACAGCTGGATATTTCCAATATCTTGGAAATTTAAAGCAGAATTTGATGCTGCCTTTTTATTAGATACTGTGTCTTCTGTGGAATTGATAATATTTTTGTTTATTGCTAGTTTAAGATACGTGGCAGTTATATGCATAGGATGTATCTCAATGGACAAGGAATAGTGCACACAAAGACAGCATGGGGACTTGAGTCTCCACTCTGCTCTCCTCCAAGGGCTCTCTGGGCCTCAGGCACAGTATTTACAGCTTCAGCCTCAGGCCTCCTTGCTTAGAGTAAAAAGTACTGCTGTCTGTTTAGCAGAGTCAAAGAAATAGCCATTTATTCATTTGCTCCGCAATGATTCAGTGGTGCTCTGTGTTCAGCACTATCTGAGGCAATGTGGTTGGTGTATGTATTATGTATGTTTTATGTATTTATCATGTATGTGCATCACATATATCTCCTGTCCCAGTGCCCACGTTCTAAGTTTATACTCAAGTTGGATACATACGCAGTTGCAACTTAAAAATCCTTCAAGAGTGTCTTTTGCCTCAGGGATAGAGCTTACATTCCTCACTCACTGTCAAAACCCTCCATGATGTGGCTCTTACATCTGCTATGGTCTGGACAGGACATAAGTGTGTCTGCTGAAGCTTCACAGGCTGGAGCTTGGTCCAAGTGTGGCTATGCTGAGAGATACTATAAGAAAACTGGTCCAGCCTTGGCACGAAAAGAGGTTCCACTCTGCTTATTTCATTTCTTGTAATTCATGGAGGGAAAATGATAAATTTTAGCCAGCAAGCCAGGGTTGTCATAAATGCCAACCTGTGATTGAAGAAAGAAGTGTTCTTGGGGATAAACTAAGCCTTCCCAGAGTTCCTTAGACCACTGTGGGTGAAGGGCAGTGTCAGCCACCTTGATGACCCGGCAGGGAGACCATGTCCCTGGGAGCATTTTCAGCTCTTCTGAGTACTTTTACCCAGTGACCTTCAGGAAGTGTTATACCTGGGTAAAAGAAAACAAACCTTTCATTTTGTTTTCTTTATGGTTACATCCTATACCCAGAGTTTGCCTTTGAAATTGTGGCTGTTGTTGTTGGCTCTTTTTCTCAGTCCAGAAGTTTGACATTCCAAAAATTTCCCACGGTGGGGACGGATAGGAGCTTTGACCTACAGAGGGACACAAGGGAGCTTTGGAGTGAGGAGTATGCCCGTTATCTTAATTGACTGCGTAGTTTTCTCCATGGCTACATATATCAAGACTTAATGGATTGGGTACTGTGGTGGTTTGAATAAAAATGGCCCCCATAGGCTCATAGGGAGTGGCACTATTAGGAGGTATAGCCTTGTTGGAGGAAATGTGTCACTAGGGGGTGGGCTTTGAGGTCTCAGATGCTCAAGCCGTGTCCAGTGTGGCAGTCTCTTCCTCCTGCCTGCCAATCCAGATGCAGAACTCTCGGCTCCTTCTCCAGCACCTTGTCTACCTGCACGCAGCCATGCTTCCTGCCATGATGATAATGGATTAAACCTCTGAAACTGTGTTAAGCCAGCCTGAATTAAATGTTTTCCTTTATAAGAGCTGACATGGTCATGGTGTCTCTTCATAGCAGTAGAAATCCTAACTAACATTGGCCCTTATATTATGTGCAGGCTATTGCCTGTCAGCCATGCCTAGATAAGACTGTTTCAAAATTCAAAAATTAAAAAGAAATATCACTGAATTGTCAAGTTCCATTATTCATTTCCTTATTAAAAGTATGTTTTAGGATGTGCTGTGTAGGTCGGTGGTAGGGTACAAGTGAGTAGCAATGAGAATGGAAGAGAGTGCCTAATGTAAATGAGACTCTGAATTCTATCCTCATGACGAACACACACACACAGAGAGAGAGAGAGAGAGAGAGAGAGAGAGAGAGAGAGAGAGAGAGAGAGAGAGAGAGATGAGACTGAAGGAGTTAGGATTGTATCATCTCAAGCAAGCCAAATTGATATATTGTCTATTTCACACTGAAGTCACTGTAACTTCAGAAAGGCCCATTTGGCTGTATTTACTTACATGCAGCAAGACACAAAGTTGTTCTGGAAGGGATGTCCTCTGCCTACCAAGGCTGGACAAGTAGCCTTGTCACCACAGACTCATGACTGGTGCTCTAACAAATCTGTGTAAACGAAGTTTTGTTTTGTTTTTTTGAAACAGGGTTTCTCTGTGTAGCTTTGGTGGCTGTCCTGGATCTCACTCTGTAGCCCAGGCTGGCCTTGAACTCACAGAGATCTGCCTGGCTCTGCCTCCCAAGTGTTGGGATTAAAGGCGTGCGCCACCGCCACCGCCGCCGCCGCCGCCGCCGCCGCCGCCGCCGCCGCCGCCGGCACCACCACCACCACCACCTGACTGGTAAACAAAAGATTTTGAAGGAACTCTTACCTTCCACAAGTACCCTCCCATCCCCACACAAATATCTCTGTAACAAGCCTGGACATGACTCCCCTGGAACATTGTTCCATTGGCCTTTGCATTCCTCCACATGTTTATTGCTCTTTGTCTAAAAACACCATGGGCTCTCCTGTGAAGATCCCTTCGTATGTGCAAAAATTAATGGAATTTTCCTTGCAGAGACATGGGAAAGAGATCTGGCAAATCACATGCTGCTTAAAGATTCTCTGCTCAGAAGTAATCCTCGTCTTTTCTGATCATGATTGACACCCACAGACAGTCACATGGCTCTGCCAGGCTGGAGAAGGTGAAGTGTTTAATCACACCCGCAGAAGAGATAATCCAAACACTTGTGATTTCTTAATGAGGACCCTGCTGCTAGGAGCAGGAATTGCTAATGTCCTGGTGGCTGGTCCCCAGCCAGGCACCTGCTCTATTAATTTTCCAGTATTTCTTCCCCTCTCTTTCATGCTCTGAGGCATAAAGGCTGCAAATGAAAGAAAGCAAAAACTCAAAAGCATTGGTGTCAGAAGTCGATGGATTAAGGACGGCTGATGGTGATAAGATCAGAAACCCAACAAACTTAAATTGAGGAGGCTTTCCACTCGGCCCTGGGAGGGTTCCGGTTAGTTTCTGGGACCACAGGAACACAGACTCAGAGATCAGAATTGGATTTTTGGCTACCCCGCACTCTCTCCTCTCCTCTGTCATCTCTGCTTGCCTTCCCTGACCTCATTCCCTCTACTGGAGACAGGTCTTTTCCATATGGCAGGAAAGATGGAGCCAACAGATTGACCTTTTCTTCTTTCCAACTCTGACATCAGAGGCAAGGCCACTTCCCGTTTAGTGCCACACTGAGATGCCTGCAGAAGGACCCATCTCAGCCTGTCTTGCCCGCTCACCCTGGCCAGGAACTGTATCCAGGGATGTAGGTCACGTGCACAGCTACAGCTGCATCAAAAGTCCATCCCAAGCAGTGCAAGACTCGAGTTCTCAGAAGGGCTTGACATGCCGAAACAGCAGCTACTCTACAAAAAGTTAGATATACCTAGAATGACGTTTCAGAGTAGGCAATGCTGTCTTATTACCCTCCCACCTCACCAACCCAAAACCACTTCCCATTGCATGTAGAAGAAAATCTGAATTAGTTCGGAGTTTTATCACGTAGCTTCTTAGGATCTCTCCCTTCCTTCCCCTTCTCTCCAGACTCACCAATGAGTAGCACGTGGACCTTTGCTCTCCAGACACGTTTCAGCCTAGAGGACACTTAAACTAGGCATCTGCCTGATGGTCGCTTACTTTCTTGTCATGAGGGCCCCCTTCTTCCCTCTTTCCTTCTCTCCCTCCCCTCTCTTACACACACACACACACACACACACAAAAAAAAAAAAAAAAAAAAAACAACCACCAAACAACAACAAAACCGACAATAGCAAACAACTATAAAGTTGTCACCACAATCAAGACATGAAATATTTCCATCACTTTGGGAACTTTTCTTACCTCCCAGTTCTCTCTCTACCCCACACCCTGACAAATACTGATCTCACTTGTTTAGTCTTATCCTGCAAAACTTTTATAATTACAAAACATCGTTGAGTTTTTTTTTTTTTTATATGCATGTATGTCTGTGTGAGGTTATCAGATCCCCTGGAACTGGAGTTACAGATAGGTGTGAGATGCCATGTGGGTGCTTGGAATTGAACCCAGGTCCTCTTAACCACTGAGCCATCTCTCCAGCCCCTAGAAAACATGTTTTTATATATTCAGAGTTTTAAAAACAAAACCAAAAACAGAATTTTCCAAAGTTTCAGCCCTGAGAAAATTCCTCCCAGAGTCCTGGGGCAGACACTACATCCAGCGTGGGATTTTCTGAGGGAAAGGAATCTATTTATACCATGCCTTTTCCCCTTTTACTTTATTTCTCTAAGATAAAATTCTATCTACCTAGCTTTAGTTCTGTCCTGACATTCAGATCCTCTCTGTACCTACTTTTT